CTACCCCACTATAGCCTACAAACATGCATCAGCTATAATAATCTGACACACCCCCATAGGCAAAGTGGGGGAGAACAAGGGGTCACAAGACCAGTCAAGCAAAGCAAAACAAGCTCAGGGTGGATCACAAAGTCACCACACAGTCCGAGCACAAGAGCAAGGCCAGAGGCCAGTTCACATGCAGGAGTAAAGACATATATATAAAACTAGACAAGCAAGAGCAGGTATATATATGTCAAAGTACAAGTAAAGTCAAGAAGAGAGCAAGTGAGGCAAGACAGGTACAAGACCCAGCTGGGTACAAAAGCGCTGATGGTCGCAAGGCGCAAGTGCCTTGGTGAACACATCAGCAGTGTTGGCCTCAGAGGCCACGTACGCAAGTCGCAACTGACCACGCTGCTGCAGCTCACGAGCAAGGAAGTAGCGGAGAGCAATGTGCTTCGTTCTGTGCTCCAAGCGCTGCTCTCGACACAAGGCCAGCATGGCCTTGTTGTCTACGTACAGCACTGGAGGAGAACGAGGCAGCTCTCCAAGGTCAGTCAGCAGGTAGGTGAGCCAGCGAAGCTCCTGTGCAGCCATGGCCCCGGCGTAGATCTCAGCCTCACAACTGGAGCCGAGAACCGAAGACGAGCGAGTAGACCGCCACGAGACAGAGCCGGAACCAAGGCTGAAGGTGTAACCCTGTGACGACCGCTGCGTAGCCTGGTCGTCAGCCCAAGAAGCGTCTGCGTGCCCAGTAAGGACCACTGGACTCCGCCCTCCAAGCACTAGCCCCATGCCCGACGTACTGCACAGGTAGCGCAATACCCTCTTCGCTGCAGCCATGTGCTCTGGTCGGTGTCTCCCAGGAGCAACATAGCGTGCAAGGATGCTCAGAGGGTATGCAAGGTCAGGTCGTGTGCAGGTCATCAGGTACATGAGGCAGCCAACAAGCTCTGCATACGGACCACTCGACTCTACGGACTCATCCGAAGGCAGAGCTGAGAGTGAGTGGCGAGTAGGCAGAGGAGTGGCCTGAGGCGAGGAGTACGTGAAGCCGAAGCGCTGAAGGACCTGCTGCACCATGTGTGACTGAGTCAGGGTAATGGTGCGGCGTGCTCTGTCCCGAGTGATCTGCAAGCCAAGGTAGCTGCGCAGTTCACCCAGGTCTGTGCACGTGTGTCTCTTCAGCAGCTCGGACTTCACGTAGGCGAGTCCAGCAGTGTCCGCTGTGGCAAAGACCAAGTCGTCGACGTACACGAGGATGTAGAACGGCGGCAGGGAAGTGTCGGTGCGAAGAAACAGCGACGGGTCAGCAGTAGAAGGAGCAAACCCAAGAGCCGCAAGCGTAGTCCTCAGTGTGTCGTGCCACTCACGCGGTGCCTGGCGGAGACCGTAGACTGGCCGTCGGAGGCTCCACTGGGTGCCAGGAGGGAAAGTCCCAGTGAAGCCAGGCGGACGGCGCAGCCAGATCTCCTCGTGCAGGCTACCCTGCAGGAACGCAGTGCTGAAGTCGAGAGAGTGAAGCTCGTAGTCGCGCTGAGCGGCAATGTGCAGCAGCACCCGAAGAGTGGTCATCTTCGGGGTGGGAGAGAAGGTCTGAAAGTAGTCAACTCCCTGCCGCTGACTGAAGCCACGAGCCACGTAACGCGCCTTGAAGACAGGCGGCGAGCCCGGCGGCCGCTTCACCCTGAAGATCCACATGCCACTGACGATGTTCGCCCCAGGAGGGGGAACCGCGTCAACGTAGGTGCCTGTGGACTTCCAGGAAGCCATCTCTGCATCCATAGCTGCCTGCCACTGAGAGGAGTAGGGACCCTCTACGGCCTCCGCGTAAGAACGCGGAGTCGGGATGTCTAGTGCATCCGGGTCTCCCTCAGGGGCTAGCAGTACAGACGCGAGACGAGGTGAAGCAGCGGCTAGACACTGGAACTCCTCCTGCCTGTCCTCTAGGACGTCCGTGCCAAGGGCACACTCACCCCCGACGGACGGAGGACAGGCGGACTCAGACTCAGCGACAAGACGAGCAGCGTAGTCTAGACGACAGCGCGCAGCAAAGTCGACAAGCTCAGTGACAAGGGCAGACGCAGCAGACGACTCGAAGGAAGGGTCAGTGACAGCAGTAGCAAGGAGACGCGTGACAGTAGGACTGGCAGCACGAAGAGAGTCCGACTCCGGGTCGGCAAGAGCAGGAAGAGAGGAAGCAGGAGGAGAAGGCAAAGGGGCACGCAGAGGAGCAGTGGACGGACGCAGTGACATCCGGTGCGTGCCAGGGACAGGAGGAGGACGCTGACGCGACCCGCGACCACTAGCGCGCTCAGTACGAACAGGCGACGCAGGACGAGACGCAGGCTCACGACGCTCAGTAAGACCTCCAGTCGGACCAGCGTAGGGAGAAGGAGCAGGCAAAGGGGAGGCAGGCTGTAGCTGTGGCTGTGACCGGACAGGCTGCGGACCCTCTAAGGAAGGAGGAGGAGGTGTAAGACCAAGAACCTGCTGCAGGAGCGGAACGAAGTACGGTCGAGGCCGCGCGGCGACGCCAGAAACAGCAGGAACAGCACCAGCACCCCCGGCAGGAGCACCCACTCCAGCAGCACCTCCAGCAGAACCACCAGAAGCTCCAGAACCTCCAGCAGCAGCACCAGGAGCACCGTCAGTCGGACCACCAACCGCAGGCTCAGCGCCAACGTCCTCAGCAGGACCAGCTCCAGGAGAACTCTCAGACCCAGCAGCTCCAGCACCCACAGGACGAGCACCGCCAGGTCGCGTGGCAGCAGCGCCCTCCGCAGCCGAAGAACCACCAGCACCAGCGGCACGCCTCCAGCGCCGGGCAAACCACTCACGCAGCTCCTGTGGAGAGAGCGGCTCCCGGCGAGACGAAGCACCCCCAGGCACAGCACCTCCAGGCTCGGCACCTCCCGGCTCAGCACCCCCAGGCTCAGCACCCCCAGACACAGCACCCCCAGGCACAGTACCCCCAGGCTCAGCACCCCCAGGCTCAGCACCCCCAGACTCCGCACCCCCAGGCTCAGCACCCCTAGACTCCGCACCCCCAGGCTCAGCTCCCGCAGCAGCACCGAGTCACCAGTGACCTCGACAGGCTCGACCGCGTCTACCTGAGACACACCTGAAGGGGCAGGACCCTGAGGGGGAGGGGGACTACTGGGGGGGGACCTGGTACCAAGAAGAGGGGGGGTGGGGGAGGGACGGAGTGCGGTAGGGGAAGAGGCGGTAGTAGGGTACCGACTCGTCGAACGTGACGTCCTGGGAGGACAGAACACGTCGAGAGGTGGGGTGGTAAAACTGCCACCCAGGGGCGTCGGGGGGGAACCCGAGGAAGACGCAGGGAGAAGCACGAGGGGACAGCTTGTCCGCAGACAGGTCGCGAACAAACGCCCGAGATCCCCAGACCCGGAACGCCGACGCATCGCCAACCTTCCCCGTCCACAACAGAGCTGGGGAGGTCTCCGGTCGAGAGACCCTGGGGTGGAGGTTGATCTGGTGCGCAGCGTACCTGACCGCAAACGGCCACAGAAAATGGGGAGCAGCCGCATGCATCATGGACGTACGAGCGACGTCCATGACCATGCCAATGCGGCGCTCAGCAATCCCATTCTGCTGTGGTGAGTCCGGAAGCGTGAAGGTCTGACGGATGCCTCGCACACGACAGTAGGCACTCAGGAGGGCCGAGGAGAACTCTCCGCCTCTGTCCGAGTGCAGACGCAAAACAGGGAAGTCAGAGCCAAAGCTTCTCCGAAGCTGAAGACGAGCTGCGCGGATCCAGTCGATCAACACCTGAGTGACCTCACCCTTGCTGCGCAAGGGGAAGACTGTGGTGTAACGCGAGTAGTCGTCAACCACCAGCAGGAAGTAGCGCTCCTGACCCTGTCCACGGACGCGGGCTGGGCCCCACACGTCCATGTGAAGCGTCTGCAACGGGGCCTCTGTCGGAGGAAACTGGGAGGAGTGAGGGGCAGCACGCTGGCGCCCCTCGACACAGGGGACACAGGCAGGGCCAGGGCCCGGAGGAAGGGGAGGGAGGGACCGGGGAAGACCAGACACAAGGACCCGCGAGGCCATGCCTCTGAGCCGAAGCAGAGAGGGGTGGCCAAGGCGGTGGTGCCAGAGGAGGGTCTCGTGAGACAGACGACGACACGAACAAGGGGCAGACTCAGGACCAGACCTGGACGCTGCAGCAAACACCTGACCAGACGAAGGGGCCCTACCAGACGCAGTACCTGGAGGAGAAGCAGTGGTCAGTGTGTACAGGCTCGACCCGGCCGACGTGTAAACGTAGCCAGGTGGCGACCTGTATCCGCCTCCGTACAGTGGGTCACCCGCTGACGAGCAGGGGTGAACTGGTGGACACCTGCATCCTGGAGGTCAGCACCACTCACCAAGTTCGTCGAGAACGAGGGGAGGTAGAGACCAGTCAGGGTGCCAGAGGGGGCCGCCGGACACGGGAGGACAGTGGAGAAGCGAGACAGGACAGGCCCCCCAGAGGGGTCCGCCAGGGACACCGCAACCGGCCGACTCAGCGGCGTGAGAGTGGTGCGGTCCCTAAAGAAGGAGCGAGACGCTCCAGAGTCAAGGGTGAAGGTGTGAGAGGCCGAAGCCGACACAGTACCTGAGAGGGCGGACTCACCAGTACCTGAAAGCACAGACGCACTGGCACCTAGAGCAGTAGCCTCACTAGTACCTGACGCGGCAGTACCAATGCCCGGGTCGGGCGGGAAACACCGGTAACAGTCATCCTCATCACTACCAGTCACAGCATACATAGCAGAGAGAATAGCATCAAAATCAAGATCATAAATAGCTACACCAGCCCTAGACAGCTCTCCCCAGCGGGGGATCTCAGCGGCCTCCGGAAACTGCTGACGCCAGGCGTCGGTCAGGCGGCCAAAGCAGCGACGGGCTGTGTGGGCGCCTCCACACCTCTCCCCTGCACGGTCACCAGTGCGAAGAACGTAGGGGCAGGGACCAAGCGCACCACCGCGCTGACGCGCTGCAAGTACCACTCACGGAGCTGCTGAGGGCCGGGGACGGTGCGAGAGCGCTGCTGCTGCTGCGGCTGCTGCTGCGGCTGCTGCTGCTGCTGCTGCTGGCGCTGACCACCCCCAGAGCTGCTCCGCTGGGACGAGCCACTCCGACCCCCTCTCCACCGCCACCCCCGCCTCCACCGCCACCCCCGTCGCCACCGCCACCTCCCCCACCAGGACCGTCGCTCCCACCGCTCCCACCGCCTCCTCCGCTACCACCTCCGCCGCCACCTCCGCCTCCACCGCCGCCACTAGTACCTCCACTCCCGCCACCACCCCCCCCGCCACCCCCACTCCCCCCCCCACCCCCACCGCCTCCTCCACCGCCCCCTCTGGCTCCACCCGCTCCCTTGCCCCCCTTGCCCTTGCCAGTGCGGCGTCTGCCACTGGGGGCAGACGCCGCGCCGACCGACTCAAAACCAACGAGGTCGGCCGCAGCGGCAGAGGCGACAGAGGGCAGCAGGGGGGAGGGACCACACCCCTCAAAGATGGGGGTGCGAGGGTCACCCCGAGAGGCCCCTACAGCGACAATACTCTTCTCAGCCGCTAGCAGGGACTCCTCAAGGAGGTCGACAGTGAGAGTGGTGGGACAGACAGAGAGAAACTGGTCCCTAACGACACGAAGGGACTCAGGAAGACGGGTGACGAGAAAGTAGAGAGTGATGTACATGGGAGGAGGGTTCGCAGCGCGGAACTCAGCAGGAAGGGCAGCGCGGTAGCGGGTGTCACTAGCGCGGAGGTGGGTAACGAGGTCAGCGACAGTGGGAAAGGAAGCGAGGTCAGGGAAGAGAAACGGTAGCATGAGGCGGCTAAGGGTAGCGGAGGAAGGGGAGGAGTAGCGCGCAACTACAGCGTCGTACAAGGCCTGAGCGGTCTTGCACTGACTAAAGTGGGCACGCTCAGAGGAAGGGAGGTGGCGACGCACAGCAAGACGTGCAGCAGCATCGCGGGTCGCCCACTTGGAGCGAACGGCAGAGTCAGCATCAGCAGGCGGGGCAGGGACAGCGCCAGAGACAAAGTCAAAGAGAGAGACCTCATCTACCGCATCACACAGTAAGTACAGCTGCAGGTCCTCGATCCAGACGGCAAAGTCAATGGCCCTCCCCTCAGCGTCAAAAGTGAGAACATTGGGGGTGGCCATAGCAGCAGCTGAAAGTCTCACCGGGATGGGAGAGTCGGGTAGGTCAGCAGCAGGCGGCTCGGGCTGCTCGTGCAGCTCAGGCGGCTCGGGCTGCTCAGGTACCGGGCGGCTCGGCTACTGCGGGCGGCTCGGCTCTGCGGGCGGCTCGGCTGCTGCTGGGCGGCTCGGCTGCTGCTGGCAGCTCGGCTGCTGCTGGCGGCTCGGCTGCTGCGGGGCGGCTCGGCTGCTGCTGGGCGGCTCGGCTGCTGCTGGGCGGCTCGGCTGCTGCTGGTGCGGCTCGGCTGCAGTGCAGGTGCGGGGCCGGGACAAGGCCGGCGGTAAGGCCGGCGGTAGGCCAAGTAGGAGCCGGCGGCGGCCCGAGTAGGAGGCCGGCGGCGGGGCCGAGTAGGAGGCCGCGGCAGGGCCGTGTAGGAGGCCGGCGGCGGGCCGAGTAGGAGGCCGGCGACGGGCCGAGTAGAGCTCCGCGGCAGGGCCGTGTAGGAGGCCGCGGCGGGGCCGAGTAGGAGCCGGCGGCGGGCCGAGTAGGAGCCGGCCGGGCCGTGTAGGAGGCCGGCGGCGGGCCGTGTAGGAGGCGGCGGCGGAGCCGAGTAGGAGCCGGCGGCGGGGCCGTGTAGGAGGCCGGCGGCGGGCCGCGAGTAGGAGGCCGGCGGCGGGGCCGTGTAGGAGGCCGGGGGCGGGCCGAGTAGGAGGCCGGCGGCGGCCCGTGTAGGAGCCGGCGGCGGGGCCGAGAAGGAGGCCGCGCGGGGCCGCGTAAGGGCCGAGTAGGAGCCGGCGGCCGCAGGCCGCGTAAAGGGGGCCGGCTCGGACCCGCGTAAGAGGCCGGCGCGGG